AATGGCTGAGTAATATTCCATTGTGTATATGCACCACATCTTCTTTATCCACTCCCCTGTTGATGGACATTTAGATTGCTTTCATGTCTTAACTATTGTAAACTGCTGCAATGAACACTGGGATGCATGTATCTATTCGGGCCATGTTTTTCTCCGAATGTTTGCCCAAGAGTGGGATTGTAGGGTCATATGGTAGTTCTATTTTTAATTTTTTAAGGAATCTCCATACTGTTCTGCATAGTGGCTGTACCAATTTACATTCCCACCAACAGTTCAGGAAGGCTCCCTTCTCTCCACACGCTCTTTGTGGATTTTTTTTAATGGTAGCCATTCTGATCAGTGTGAGGTGATATCTCCTTGTACTTTTGATTTGCATTTCTCTAATAACTAATTCTAATGTTGAATATCTTTTCATGTGCCTATTGGCCATCTGTATGTCCTCTTTGGAGAAATGTCTATTCAGGTCTTCTGCCCATTTTTTTAGTGGGTTGTTTGTTTTGATGCTTCTAAGCATCATAAACTGTTTGTAAATTTTGGAGACTAATTCCCTATCAGTCACATCATTTGCAAATATTTTCTCCCAACTGTGGGCTGTCTTTTCATTTTGTTCATTGTTTCCTTTGCTCTGCAAAAGCTTTTGAGCTTAAGTGGGACCCATTTGTTTATTTTTGCTTTTATTTCCATTATTCTGGGAGCTGGACTGAAAAAGATGTTGCTGTGATTTATATTGGAGAGTGTTCTGCCTGTGTTTAAAAGAGTTTTTTAAGACCCATACTCAACTACCATTTTTAATTTGAGTTTATTCAAGATGGCTATACACCCGGCCGTTTGGGTAAGTCTTTTTGAAATGAAAAATTGTCTTGGACTTTTCTCTTTAAGTAGAAAGTATTAATGAGTCTGTTGCAGATGGGGCATTCAGAGGAGATAGAAAATTGTGTTTGTTTAAAACCCTACATCCTTTCTTCAGACACTGAGGAATTATTCCCAATAATCTCCAGCAGTTTGACCAAATCCCCTTCAGAGGGACCCTCTTTCTGTGTGTTCTCAGGAGTTTGTGGGAGGTAGTTTCAGCTTCAGTCCTCAATCTTAAATTGTCTTCTTTCTTGCCGTTGCTATCAAAAGATATCTATCGTCACTCCAGGGGGAACCTAGAATATTACTGGTTTGATCAGAAGTTTTTACGTGCACTCTTAATATTCACACATCCCTCACACCTCCTATAAATTGTTTTCATTTTACCCTTTTGTTGAAACAGTGTGACACTTCTCAAACTTCTCTTTTATCACACTTTCAACAGAATCTCTGTCCAGTGCAGTTAGATACTGGCCTTTACTGCTTAGAAAGAGTTGAGATTCTTAAGAAAACCGGAAAGCATTTTCTTAACCTTTTACTGAATTGACTAGTTATTGATCTATATTCACTGAGCTAACCACATACATCTCTCATGCTCTGTGTGTGTGTGTGTGTTTGTGTGTCTGTGTGTGTGTTTGTGTGTGTGTGTTTGTGTGTGTGTGTGTGTGTGTGTGTGTTAATATGGCTTCTTGGTTTTTGTTTTTTTCCCCGTGAATGACCAGTTATAAGATTAAATTGTCATTGAAGTTGTCAGTGGGACTCAGTCATAGAGCAATCTTGATTCAGTAGAAAAAGCTGTAGCTTCAGAACCTAACCTGGTAATCAAGTTATTTCCATGGGAGCTGGGGGCATTCTCCTCTGCAGTCGCAGAGCTGCGAGAGGCTGCCCGGTCGGGCCGGGACCCAGGGAATCTGGGCACCAGCTGCCGCTTTCCGTTCCCCAGCATCTGGCCCTGCCCCACCTGCTCACTGAAGGAAGGGGTGGAATGCATTTCCTGGTCCCCTCCCCTGGCCTTAGTGGAAAAGTAAAGGCTGAATATGACACGTGTTTACAACTGTGCCGGAACAGACGGCAGCCCAGCGCGTCAGCGCGTCTCTGCTGTTCTTCCCTCCCCGACCTGGCGGTAGCGTGGGCACTGCAGGTGTCCTCGGCTGGGAACAACACCAAGGACCCCAGGACCTCCTGGCCAGTGAGCAGCCAGCATGCGACAAGGTGGAGCCTCCTGGCCATGACCTGGACTCCGGAGCCCTCTTTTTCTCTCTCGCCCTCCTTGACAGTTGTTTTGTTTAATGAGATTTAGCTTTTTTTAGTAGTTTGATATTCTCTGAATATCCATATTCTCTCAATATTCATTACTTTGCCAACAAAGTTTCTTCTAGTCAAAGCTATGGTTTTTCCAGTGGTCATGTATGGATGTGAGAGTTGGACCGTAAAGAAGGCTGAGCACCAAACAATTGATGCTTTCGAACTGTGGTGTTGGGGAAGACTCTTGAGATTCCCTTGGGCTGCAAGGAGATCCAACCAGTCCATCCTAAAGGAAATCAGTCCTGAATATTCATTGGAAGGACTGATGCTGAAGCTGAAACTCCAGTACTTTGGCCACCTGAGTTGAAGAGCTGACTCACTGAAAAAGACCCTGATGCTGGGAAAGACTGAAGGGGAGAGGAGAAGGGGATGACAGAGGATGAGATGGTTGAATGGCATCACAGACTCTATGGATACGAGTTTGAGTAAGCTCCGGGAGTTGGTGGTGGACAGGGGGGCCTGGCGTGCTGCGCTCCATGGGGTCGCAAAAAGTCGGACGTGACTGAGTGACTGAACTGAACTGATTCTCTAAAGAGAACGCACGTAAATCTGCCGAGCTCCATCCTCTTCTCTCATCTTCCTCATTTGTGCCTACCGTTCTACTAAAAAATTATATATTCAGGAAAGGGCAATAATTCTAGAAGGCAGGAGGACCATTTAATGCTGAGTGAGCATAAACAAGTATGAGGATAAATGTTACAGAAAGCTGTGTGGTGGGTCCGGCTGCTTGCAGCTCAAAGGCCAATAAGCAGGCCAAGTTGGTGGAAAGGAAACTTTGCTTTATTTCAGATGCTGGCAACGTGGGGGGTGGGTGGCTGACATCTGTGCAAAGGCCAACTCCCCCCACCACCACCACAAGCTGGGGGGGTAAGAGCTTTTATAGACAGAAGTGGGGAGGGGGCTACATGCAGAAACAGCAGTCAGCTCTGACAGTCATCTTCAAATTGGTCATCAGGGGTCTGACCAGTGTCATCCTGGTTGCTTAGGTCCAGTTAATCTTCACTTCCAGAGTCCATTCATTCCTATTTCTCTGAGGCCAGTTCTCGGAATCGTGGCGGCGCACGTCCTGGGTGCAGTCTGATCATCATGTAGTTAACTTCTCTGCCTGGTGTTCTAGTATCTGTAAGACAGCTCACAGGATGTGGCTCAGAATGTTATCTATAGCTTGTGAGAAAGAGGTAAAGGCCCTTGACTATGCTTCATGACTACATTATTATTATTTAATCTCTTTTAACTGTTTTCCTTTGTCTTCCGCAATTCTCAGCTCTCTGATTAAACTTATTCTTAGACCAAAGTTTTCCATAGGCAGAAGGCAGGCAGAGGACATGGTGGGTGGCGGGGGGGCAAGGACCGTGGGGTCCTGCTCCGTTTCATAAAGGGGGAAGGTTTCCTTGTCAAAGATGAAAGCCAGGCGCATGATGAACACCTTGACTTTGCTTTGGAGAGCAGACAAGCTCCTATTCAGGCAGCCATACGTGCTCACACCACATCTGCTAAGAAAGGGTGGCATCAAGTCAAAACCACCATGAGGAACCAACTCACACCAGTCAGAAAGGTCTTCGTTAGAAAGTCTACAGGTAACAAGTTCTGGAAAGACTACGGAGAAAAGGGAACCCTCCTAGGCTATTGTGGGAATGTACCTGGTATAACCACTAAAAAGAGAACAGTATGGAGGTTCTTCAAAAAACTAGAAATAGGGTTGCCATATGACCCAGCAATCCTAGTCCTGAGCATATATCTGGACAAAACTATAATTCAAAACATACATGCCCCTCTATGTTCATAGCAGCATTATTCACAATAGCCAAGACATGGAAACAGTTTAAATGTCCATCAGCAGAGGAACCGATAAAGAGGATGTAGTACATATGTACAACGGAATGTGATTCGGCCATAGAAAAGAATGAAATAATGCCATTTGTTGCAACGTGGGTGGACCTAGAGATGATCATTCTAAGCGAAGTAAGTCCGACAGAAGGAGAAACATCATATGATATCACTTGCACGAGGAATCTAAAATATGACACAAATAAGCTTATCTATGAAACAGGAACAGACTCACAGGTGCAGAGAACAGGCTTGTGGTTGCCAGGGGCGGGGGGGCATGGGAGAGGGATGGAGAGAGAGCTTGGGGTTAGCAGATGCCAACAATGATGACGAAACAACAAACCATAGCCCGGGGAACTGTATTTAATATCTTGTGATAAGTCATAATGGAAAAGAATATGAAAAAGAATGTATGTGTATCACTGAATCACTTTGCTATCCAGCAGAAACACAACATTGTATACAAGTAGAGAAAGAAAGAAAGAAAGAAAGAAAGAAAGAAAGTGAAGTCACTTAGTCGTGTCCGACTCTTTGCCACCCCATGGACTGTAGCCCACCAGTGTCCTTAAAAAGGATGTCATCAACTGCCCAACCCTTAACAAATTTAAAGTACTGACCTTTGAGGGCTGACATGATACTCTTTCTTCTGTTAATGCCCCAAAGAAAGAAAATATCTAATGTCAAACTTTTGGCATTTCCCACTCGTTACTATGGAGGGAAGGAGGAAAGGACCCAGGAGACGTGGGTTCAATCCCTGGGTCAGGAAGATCCCCTGGAGAAGGAAATGGCAACCCACTCCAGTATTCTTGCCTGGAGAATCCCATGGACAGAGGAGCCTGCTGGGCTGTAGTGCATGGGGTCTCAAAGGGTCGGACATGACTAAGCACACACACACATCATTTGCACTTAAATTAGGCTGTTCTACACTGAGCAAATGCCTTTTGTTGTTTTGTAAGATTGTCCTGAAAGCAAAGTAGGCCCCTAACTCTTGCCTCCCAAACTTTGTGTGTTTGCAGGAATACCCTGGTTGAGGACCACTGTTGCTACCCTGGGAAGACTAGGCATAACCATGGCCTTTGAAATTGTCTATTTGGTAAATTCAGAATTGTACCCAACAACATTACGGTAATTCCAACATCCATGTCATGGTTTCTCCTAAGTAATTCTGCAGGTGCATGTTTTAAGTCGACCGCCTACAACGCAGAAGACGAAGGAGACACGGGTTTGATCCCTGGGTTGGGAAGATCCCCCTGGAGAAGGAAACAGCAACCCACTCCAGTATTCTTGCCTGGAGAATCCCATGGACAGAGGAGCCTGGTGGGCTACAATCCATGGGGTTGCAAAGAGTCAGACATGATTGAAGCCGCTGAGCACGCACGCCATGCAGGCATTAGACTTGAAATCAGAAAATCTGATGCGTGTGCTTGCAGCGTGAGTTACATTTCCCACCATCCCTCTGTGTAAAGGCCGCAGCCTCTGCTCTGACCACACTCCACGGCCAGCTCCTGAAGAATGAAATCAAATAATCTTCGCAGCTAGTGCAAACTGGCCTTCTTTCTGGGGGGAATATTCATGAGCACATCTTACTGTCAGTCTAGGCCCCACAAGGGCACATGAGTGCCAGAGCGGGCTGGGCAGTAAGCCGCTGATGGATGATTAATTTCCACCAATACTGTAGACTCCACCCCTGGCTCCAATTAGCCTCGCTGTGACTCTGAGTCACAGAGTGACAGGTGTGAACTGGTGCAGCTTGGAAATGAATTGCGTAGGAAATGATTTGCATAGAGTATAAGGGAGGAGAAGTTTTCAATGTCAAACACTAGAGAAATGGGAAATATTGTTACCATTTCTCTTACTTAGGTATCTGATAATATTATTCATCCTGAAGTTATTTAAATATTTTTATTTCAAACAACTTTTTTATTCTGCAGAAACTTTGGAGTTTCACTGTGTTCCGGTTTATGTGATTTTGGGGGGATTATAGCCCCATTTCTGCTCTTCCGGCTAGCAGCCATTTGGCTGGAACTACCTCTTATCATCTTTGGTAAGCATTCACTGTATGCACTATTCTTAAATGCTTTCATCTGCATTCTTTGCATTAATAGAACCTACAGTGATGACCAGGTTCGATATTCATGGTATTCATTTGCTCTTCCCATAACAACTCTTTCAGGTTTTGAGGAACCACAGTGAAATGTGGGCCCTAAATCATTTACATTTATTTTATATCACAGGGTTGCAATGAAAGGTGTTCAACTTAAGAACTTTTCTTGCAGTCCAGTGGTTAAGACTCCACATTTTCTTTGCAGGGGTCATGGGTACGATCCTTCACTGAGGAACTAAGATCCCACATGCCACAAGGCATAAACCACCCTTCCCCTCCTGCAAAAAAAAAAAAATCTGGAAGGCAGGGTTTGGCAGCATGGGAACAAAATACACTTTTTAAAGAAGTGTTCGATTTAGCTTTCTTTTTTGAGGTTCTGAGTTAAAATCAAATACTGTGAAACTCTTTTATGATATTGTGGGACACAACCAGTAGTTTTGGGGGGACCTAATAGGACCTTTTGTGTGTTTAAAACAAGCCTAAAAATTAATTGTGTTGTTGAAAGTTCCATGTCTTTCAACGCCATATCTTCATTTGCTTTGATGCTGAGAGCACCATGTCCAAAGAACAGAGGACACAGAAGCCCTTGCACACGTACCATGAGCTCTTTGATGCCTGTTGGATTCACACCCTCCTTCCTACCCTCTGTCTTCTTGAAACTCATGACGGGATGGAACCATAGCTCGGGGAGGGGACTGGGGTAATTCCAGCCGGTGCCTCGCCATCGCCGGTCCAGCTTTCCTTCCCGGGTCTCACACACCCCTCCCCTCTCCTTATTAGCAAGAGAGGATGCTGGCTGGCTCCTTGCTCACCTGCTCTCCTCCAAGCAAAGAGTCGGACTGGGCCACTTTCACTTTCACTTTTGGACTTCCCCGGTGGTCCAGTGGCTAAGACTGTGCTCCCAGCTCCGGGGCCCAGGGGGTCGATCCCTAGTCAGGGAACTAGATCCCACCTGCCGCGACTAAGACCCCCGGCATGGCCAGTAAATAAATAAACAAATATTAAAAGAAAGAAAGGTGTGTGAGAGCACGTCACAGGATCGCTAACCCATCCCATGGAGTCAAGCAGAGAGAGAGTCAGGGAGGACGGGGCCGGGGAAGGTGAGGGGACGTTACTCACGTGAGAGGTGCAGGCTGGAGCTCCAGGCAATGGAAGGACCTACAGTAAGAGGACGTTGGGGCTTCCAGGCGACTCAGATGGTGAAGAACTGGCCTGCAGTGCAGGAGACCCAGGTTCCATCCCTGAGTCGGGAAGATTCCCCCGGAGGAGGAAATGGTGACCTTCTCCAAAGACTGCTGTGTGTGAGGTGGGGCCTGAAGAGGGAGACAAGGCTGGGGAGACCCGCTGGGGCCCGACCACTGGATGTGCAAAGGGTCTGCTCCGTATCCAAACAGCAGTGGGAAGCTGTGTGGAGTTTTAAGCTGGGGTTGGCAGGGTCAGATCCACCTTTTAGAAACCTGACTCTGATGGCCCATATGCCAGGGACTTAGAGGGGACTCTTAGGGAGACGATTAAAGGAATGTTGTTCTAACCAGGCCAGGACTGGGTCTGAGGTGATGGCACGAAGGTGTTGAGGAGTGGATTGATCTGAAGAAATACATTGGATGTTGAATTGGTCAAGAGGGGCTGACTGAGTGGGTGAGGCCCAGAGGTAGCAGGGAGAAGGACCGTGACGCTGCTGACTGGGAGAACCACAGGAGGGTTTAGCACGCTTCAGAGGAGCCTGTCTGCGGGAGGATGTGCGGGAATTCTATCTGGGCTGCTTGTAGGATGAGGTACCTCTAAGAAATCCAGGCTGAAATGGTGAGGAGGCAGTAGGTTTGATGAGCTGAGTCAGGGGTACGGTGGCCTCAAGATGAAGGTTTGGAAGCCACCTGGATGAAGATAACCCCTGAAACCATGCGAGTGACCGAACTCCCGCCCCCCTCTCCACAGGAAACAGGGCAGAGTGAGAGGAGAGAAGGGGCCCAAGACGGAGCCCCGAGGAGCCACGAGCGTCCAGTGTCAGCGGAGTGAGAGGCGCCAGGCAGGGGACGCGAGGGGAGCAGGAGGGAGACCAGGAGCTCGAGGGCCGGGGTCGTCAGGGGCTGGCGGGTGAGGCCATCAGCTGCCAGAGCTGCCGTGAGGCCGGGCAGCCGGGGCCAGAGGCGGGGCCGCTGGGCCTGGTGGTGGCGGCCCCTGGTCCTCTGGCGGGAGCCGGGCCGGCGGGGACCCTGAGAAGAGCCCTGACCCGAGCACATGGGCCTGGGACGTGACTCTGGCCCACCAAGGTCAGCTGTCAAGTTTTCAAGAATCCTGGAGCCACCCCAGTGGCTCAGATGGTGAAGAATCTGCCTGCAATGCAGGAGCCCCAGGTCCAATCCCTGAGTCGGAGAGATTCCGTGGAGAAGGGAATGGCTACCCACTCCAGGGTTCTTGCCTGGAGAATCCCATAGAGAGAGGAGCCTGGTGGGCTACAGTCCATGGGGTCGCCAAAGAGTTGGACGTGACTGAGTGATTAACGGTTATCATTAAAAATTGCATATACGAGATGAAAAACAGAGGTAATAAATACACCTGCTCAGTTCCTGATTCATCGGGCTTTGCTGCGTCTGACCTTGAGGCTGGTGTGTCCACTGGAGTCCACGGTGGAGATACTGCTGCTCATCTCCCCAGAGCCTCACCCTCGGGGCTGCGTTGCTGGAATGAATGATGCACAACGGGCGTATTTACACCTTGGAAATAGGCAAACGCTGAAAATTTAAGACTTTGTTTTCTGGAGGTATTTACCGGCACAGCACTAGAATATGAAGATATGTCCCCGATAGCTCAGTTAGTAAAGAATCCGCCTGCAATGCAGGAGACCTGGGTTCGACCCCTGGGTTGGGAAGATCCGTTGGAGAAGGGAAAGGCTACCCACTCAGTATTCTGACCTGGAGAATTCCATGGGCTGGCTAGTCCATGGGGTCGCAAAGAGTCGGACATGACTGAGCAACTTTCACAGAAAACAAGAAAGGATGGTGTTTCAAGGATTTCGGTTCTAAGACAGAAAGGAGGATGGTGGCTAGAGGATCGTGTGAGTTTGTGAGAAGGCTCTGTAGAGAGGAGAGATTTGAATACGTTTTGAGGCATCACCAGAGGGATAAAGCTGCTGGAGAGAGGGGATGAACCCCTACAGCGAGGAGCCCAGAAGACTCCAAGAGCTGCTCCTGGGCAGACGTGGGGACCAGCCTTGCCGGGCCACGCGACGGGAGGAGGGCAGGGATGGGGCGGCTGGAGGATGCTGAGGGGACTCTTCCGCAGTGGCCTCTGTTCCCCCCGAAGTAGGAGGTGGGCGCTTCTCAGAGTGTTCGGCACTTAGGTCCTGGATAAAGAAGTATGAGATGGACGCCAAGAGCGCAGGGGCGGTGGGACTGTCCAGGGTCTGAGGACGCTGAGGAACTGTGAGATCGTGACAGAGGATCGCCGGGGAGCTGGGCAGGGTGACCTCACCAGAGCACTGCTGCAGGGGGCGGGGGAGTTAAGGTGGTGGGCACAGCAGCTTCCAAGGGGAGCAAGGGCGATGCGGGCGGCTGTGCCATCTGGGGACCGTAACGCTGTTTCCCTGTCCCACAGGTACCCTGGCATCCGTCTGCGGTGCTCTTGTGATGCTCCTGCCTGAAACCAAGGGCATCGCCTTGCCAGAAACAGTGGATGACGTAGAAAAGCTTAGCAGGTACAATACAAAAGTCAGCCCACCCTAATTGAAAGCAGCATTTCAAACCCACTGGGAAAGGATGGGGCTGAGAACACTGAATGTGGGGAACGGGATACAATATTAAATCCCTGTCTTGCATCTTAAGCAAAAAATTCAAAGTAGGTTTAAAAGGGTGACGTAAAACTAATCTGGAAATGAACATGTTTTATTTTTTAAATGTGGTCATGAAGAGAGAAATATATCCAAATAAGGTGTGAAAACTCAGAATCTAAAGGAAAAGGCTTGATGACTGGACGAAGCAGAAATAATTTAAATGTGCGTCCCTGGGCAGCCAATGGTGACAATGATAATATATCCATAAAATGGATTGCTACACAGATATTTAAATAGTAGAAATGTAGATATATGAAAGACATGGAGAGATTTTCAAGGGGGATTACAAAGTGAAAAGTAACTGAACAATGTGTTATAGTATTTATTAAAAAATAAAACCAAGAGTTATCCCTCTCTATAGCTAGATGGGAAGATAAATGATAGTCAGGTGATGATAGATAGATAGATGATAGCAAAAAGAAAATGGGAGAAGGAGAAAGAGATTGAGTTTAGGGGGGAAGGTGTCTAAATAGTGTGCAGAGAAAGTTAATATCCAACCAACATTTAAACATAAAATGTATTTTATATTAAAAAAGTCACATTACATGCATTCTAATTTTCTCTGAAATTTTTCATAATAAAAGTAAGAGAGATTATGAAAATGGAAATGTATAGGGAAAGACCTAAAATGATAAAATATACCATTGGAGATAGAAATGTGTTGGGAAGAGGCGTGAGAAGAGAGAACACTTATTTTATACCCCATAGACTTCTGCATCATTAAGTTTTTTAAAATCATGACAACATGGTCTTGTATCATTTGTGAATTTTACTTTTTTTAAATTTTTAAAAATTTTTTTGGCATGTGGGATCTTAGCTCCTCAACCAGGGATCAAACCCATGCCCCCGGCATTGGAAGCTTGGAATCTTAACCACAGGGCCACCAGGGAAGTCCTTATTTGTGAATTTAAACAAATAATTTAACAGCTAATTTGAAAAATAAAAATCAGTCTTCTTCTAAACAGAGACCTGGAAATTAAGGATATGGATCTCTAAATTTTATCAGATATATTTATGAGAAGGTGGAGATGTTAATAACCTCATGGCAGTTTTCTTCGTCACTTTCTTTGTCACGGCAGATTGGTTAGAGATTAGAAACTGACAACTTTTAGGGTCCTGTGTAAGTGATCAGTGGTTTCACATATGTCATTTCATACTCAAACTGGTGGTGTGCAATAGAAGTTCTTGTCCTCACTGTTTTATGCTCGGAAAGACTTGACAACTTCTGTGTGCTAGAACTGGGGTTGACGTTGCCTAGTGAACAGGTGTGACTGCTGTGTGTTACTCATTTTTGCTGTGTTGGGTCTTCGTTGCCGCGTGGGGTTTTCTCTCTGGGGCAAGTGGGGGCTACTCTAGCTGCGGTGTGTTGGCTGCTCCTTGCAGTGGTTCCTCTTATTGCAGAGCACGGTCTGTAGACTCTCGGGATTCAGGAGTTGTGGCGATGGGCTCAGTTGCTGCGAGGCACGTGGGATCTTTCCAGAGCAGGGCTCAAACCCATGTCTTTTGCCTTGGCAGGTGGATTCTTTACCACTGAGCCACCGGGGAAGCCCTGGGGTAGTTTCATTATCTTAGGCTCCATCCTACTTGATTATGAGTAGCTTCATAACAAGAATCTCCCGGTAGGATTGGAGATTTCTCTCCTCATATACTCTTTAATGAGGTACCATCGCCCTCTCCAGAGATAGGCAACCACTGCTAAGTGTCTTACAAGTATTTTAACCAGACTTTAAAACATATATATTGATTTCATTGTCCTATTTCCTGATGCTATTCTGAAGAACCACATTGACGAACATTCAGAACATCTCAGAACATTCCTAAGAAAACCTTAGCAATGTACTGAAATCAAACCACCAGCTGACTTCTAACAGCAGCAGCCAATCAGAGAACAGGTAGACGTTTGTCCCATGGAGTAACTCAGTCAGATGCTTATGCTTGTTTGTAAGTAAACAGATAGGTAATCGCTTAGCCTCAACCAAAGCTCTACCTAGGTTTTACCCTAAAATAATGCTACTTGGGGCTTCCATGGTGACAAAAAAGTCACATTACATGCATTCTAATTTTCTCTGAAATTTTTCATAATAAAAGTAAGAGAGATTATGAAAATGGAAATGTATAGGGAAAGACCTAAAATGATAAAATATACCATTGGAGATAGAAATGTGTTGGGAAGAGGCGTGAGAAGAGAGAACACTTATTTTATACCCCATAGACTTCTGCATCATTAAGTTTTTTAAAATCATGACAACATGGTCTTGTATCATTTGTGAATTTTACTTTTTTTAAATTTTTAAAAATTTTTTTGGCATGTGGGATCTTAGCTCCTCAACCAGGGATCGAACCCATGCCCCCGGCATTGGAAGCTTGGAATCTTAACCACAGGGCCACCAGGGAAGTCCTTATTTGTGAATTTAAACAAATAATTTAACAGCTAATTTGAAAAATAAAAATCAGTCTTCTTCTAAACAGAGACCTGGAAATTAAGGATATGGATCTCTAAATTTTATCAGATATATTTATGAGAAGGTGGAGATGTTAATAACCTCATGGCAGTTTTCTTCGTCACTTTCTTTGTCACGGCAGATTGGTTAGAGATTAGAAACTGACAACTTTTAGGGTCCTGTGTAAGTGATCAGTGGTTTCACATATGTCATTTCATACTCAAACTGGTGGTGTGCAATAGAAGTTCTTGTCCTCACTTTTTTATGCTCGGAAAGACTTGACAACTTCTGTGTGCTAGAACTGGGGTTGACGTTGCCTAGTGAACAGGTGTGACTGCTGTGTGTCACTCATTTTTGCTGTGTTGGGTCTTCGTTGCCGCGTGGGGTTTTCTCTCTGGGGCAAGTGGGGGCTCCTCTAGCTGCGGTGTGTTGGCTGCTCCTTGCAGTGGTTCCTCTTATTGCAGAGCACGGTCTGTAGACTCTCGGGATTCAGTAGTTGTGGCGATGGGCTCAGTTGCTGCGAGGCACGTGGGATCTTTCCAGAGCAGGGCTCAAACCCATGTCTTTTGCCCTGGCAGGTGGATTCTTTACCACTGAGCCACCGGGGAAGCCCTGGGGTAGTTTCATTATCTTAGGCTCTATCCTACTTGATTATGAGTAGCTTCATAACAAGAATCTCCCGGTAGGATTGGAGATTTCTCTCCTCATATACTCTTTAATGAGGTACCATCGCCCTCTCCAGAGATAGGCAACCACTGCTAAGTGTCTTACAAGTATTTTAACCAGACTTTAAAACATATATATTGATTTCATTGTCCTATTTCCTGATGCTATTCTGAAGAACCACATTGACGAACATTCAGAACATCTCAGAACATTCCTAAGAAAACCTTAGCAATGTACTGAAATCAAACCACCAGCTGACTTCTAACAGCAGCAGCCAATCAGAGAACAGGTAGACGTTTGTCCCATGGAGTAACTCAGTCAGATGCTTATGCTTGTTTGTAAGTAAACAGATAGGTAATCGCTTAGCCTCAACCAAAGCTCTACCTAGGTTTTACCCTAAAATAATGCTACTTGGGGCTTCCATGGTGACACAGATGGTAAAGAATCTGCCTGCAATGCAGGAGACCCAGATTTGATCCCTAGGTCAGGAAGATCCCCTGGAGAAGGGAACAGCTACCCACTCCAGGATTCTTGCCTGGAGAATTCTATGGACAGAGGAGTCTGGTCGGCTACAGTCCATGGGGTCACAAAGAGTCGGACAAGACTGAGCGACTAATAGTCCTACTAATGCTACTTGAAGGTTGAGGTGAGGTGGGAGATTCTCTTTAAGACACTGCCATTTTATAAACCAAAATTAAGAAATGTATAAAAGGTATTATTAATAAAACTGTCCTTTTGAGAATTACACCATGGTAAGGTCTTGCTTTATCCAGAAAGGATAAATGTTCTGCTGACTGTGGCATCACAGACAATTATTTGGTTTGTGTCAGATTATTTGTGTCAATTATTTGTATTGGGACCAGATCAGTATGGTGGTTATCCAATCCTGTCCCTCCAATTGCAGTCGTGCTAGAAGTCGGAAGGAGAGGAGAATATTGAAAGGTTAGATGAAGCAGGTGAAATGGTGAGAAAGGAAATAGGATCATCTTCGAAAAAGATACCCAGACTTTAAAGGTAACTTCCCAGGCCCTAAAGGGTCTGTTCAGGGCTGGGACACCCAGGGGGGCATCCCAGCCAGGATCACAGGGTGGAACGTAAGGAGGAGTTCAGCGCTGACTGTTGCATGCACAAGCCTGTGATGTGCCACTGGAGTTTTAAGACGTTTGAGTCTCAGTGCTGCGGAGTCCTTTTCTGCACACCTGCTGCCCTCATGGAGAAGGCCTTCTGTGCCAGCTCTCCAACCAGGGGGATCGCATTCTTCCTTTTGACTCAACTCCACTTACTGCCGCTCCTTTCCACAGTGAGAGTGACACACCCGTTCTTGACCCCCAAACCAGTCAGAGGTCAGATTTTCAACCTCATCAGGAACAGCGTGGAGGGAGAGGGGGTCATTTGAGGCACTAGTGGTCAAGAACCCTCCTGCCAGTGAAGGAGACATGAGAGACTCGGGTTCGATCCCTGGGTTGGGAAGGTCCCCTGGAGTAGGAAACAGTAGCCCGCTCCAGTATTCTTACCTGGGAAATCCATGGACAGAAGAGTCTCGTGGGCTACAGTCAATAAGGTTGCAAAGAGTCAGACACGACTGAACGTGTGCACACACACACACACACACACACACACGCTTCTGCCAATTCAATCATGTTAAAAATAGAATTAAACAATCTGAAGAGATGGAGCTTTGGAGATGAGAAGCCCATCTGGATGGTGTGCAGGGAAAATTAATATTCAACTGATAAATAAACAGGAAGAATTAGGCCAACAAAAATTCAACTTACATGAATTTCTAATTTTTTTCTGTGTTTGTAACTTTTCATAACAAAAATGGCGTAAGTTAAGTATGCCTAGTCCCTACCCTTGAAAAAACACCTAATCAAAGTCTGATCTACAGTTCTGTAAATTCAGCACACTGGTTGCATTCTATAGTTACTTGAGGGGGAGAAAAGAAAACTACTCAGCCCAAGTTACTGAAATTTGTTATCATTTTCCCATCTAAAACAGCACTTAAACATTTTTTAATTTCTCCTTTCTTTTGTTGACATCAGCAGCTCATTTCCAAACCATCTGTTACAGGATAGAAAGTCATAAAGAATTTATATATGCGAATTAACCCCTGCCCAGGGTCTGAGAGCAGGTAAAAAATGAGTTTGGAAATAGCTCATTGTTCCTTTCAAAGCAGGTTTTTATGAGCAGTTATGCTTGAGTGCATTGGATCAAAACCAACTATGATATTGAGTAGTAATAAAGACTTCCTCCCCACTAGTTATATAATCTTTCGTAACAGTTCTCTTTTCTCCTTTGTCAGTCCACATTCCTGTAAGTGTGGCAAGAAAAAGAAACCCCAGGTTTCAAGCTCTCACCTTTGAGGCTGCTGCCAAAGACGCAAGGAAGGAGCTATTCAGGCCAGTCCCCACCAAGGAACCGACGTGCCTTGCAGAGACGTTGTGTGTGTCCATTTCAGCGCTGCAGCTTCAAGTGTTTTCAATACTTTACAAAGACAGTCAAACTATCCAGAGTATTTTTATATAATGTTGGATGAATCAGGACATACCATGCTGTCAAAGCTTCTGGGAACATGTAACATGTGGCTGGGATATAGCCAAGAGCCCGTTGCGTGCACAGCTTCTCCTGGAGTCTTTTTCTCACTTTGAGGCAGAGTCACTGACCCACTGAGTTACGGCGAGACAAGAGGAGCCCCACCCGGTTCTCATGATGGCTCCATCCAGAAGGCAGGATGTGCAAACCACAGAACTGGGGAAAGTGTACAGAAATGGGCTCATCAAATCTGATGCAGAAACTGAGGCTCTGAACTGCGTTCTGAAGATTCCAGGGTGGATGAAGATTTGGGAAGCCTGTTAAAGAAGAAGCTGAATCAAGGACCTCAGGTCATATGACGCTGAGCCTTTACTTCCTCTCTTAGCACCTGGAGCTCCATAAGCTCCTGGAGCATCTGGGTTTGCAGGCACATTCAGATCTCATTCCAGAAGTAAGAACAAATCTGTGCAAGTTGAGGATTTGGCTGTATTGTTCATAAAATCAGATTTGGTCCCAAGAGATGAGTCAAGATAATCTTGGCTCTCCTTTAGTAGACACTGAGAGTCACCTATTCAGTTTTTTACTGATGAAACCCATGGATTGTGATTTCATGGGTCTTATGATTTTAATCATAAAGGAATACTTGTCTTATAAATGAGTTCAGTTTTATGATGGTGCCCACAGTCAAGAGTGAAAACTACGGGCAGATCTCATTCATCTTGACAATTTTAACCTGTCTTGGGGAGAAGCTTACATTTTAGTGTAAAAGAAAGATCAGTTCTAGCCATGTTTAGAAGAATTAGCAGAAGTCTTACAGATGACTTTAGAAGTACTAAAAAGCAATTTGATCTTTTTTTTTTTGTTTCTGAGACTTTCAATATGTGGAGTTTAAACACAAAAAAATGCTGTCTTTATGATGTTCTGCTTTACGTGTTATATTTGTTATATTTTCAGATTCAGTATGTATCTCATGCAAAATTGTTTAATGAGTTATTTTGGGTGGACCGGTAAAATTGGAGCCAAAGGGTAATTTTGCCAGTTTGGAAGAAAATTTTCTATATGAACTTGTGACAACGTGTATGGTGTATGCGCTAATTGTAAAATAAGTTTTTAAGCCTTAAAGCACATCAGAATTGAATGTGAGTGTTCAGTTTTTCAGTAAAATAAACACCATTCTCTAAGAACATGATGCTACCTACATTCACCCTTCGTTCACACACACTGGTGTTTTCACTTCCTTTGTATCTCTTTGCTACGAGATGACTGTTGTTCCTTGTATTATCACCTTGGAATTGTACTTTGAGTTGACATTTGAATTCTGATAACAATAAAAAATATACATAAATTGTCAAGAAAAATCAGTTTTCATCTGTTCTCTTCTTTCTGAACATGCATCTCTGTAAAACACTCTTCCCACGTGACAGAGTATACCACATATCCAGGCAGCCAATTACTGACGGAAATTAAGTGGTCCACCTTCAATATGTGTTCGCTGCTCCTTTCCAGGCTCTTGGCATCATTCCTAGACCCATGTGTGGCCCAGAATAACATTCAGACTCTTCACTGGTCTGGTGTTATGACACTTCTGTTGCTTGGTTTCCAACTCTCTGCCCAGGGTCTTGTGCCAGGCTTGAGCCAAGCTGTCAATAACAGTCTTTATTCCCAAGAGTAGAATTTCTCATGATTCCCCACGTTGCAGCTTTGAACACATTTATCTCAGTGCCAAAAATAAAGACATTAAAGATATATGTCAAGGCATCCTTCATTGTCAGGGTGAATATATGGGTGACTTACTAGGATTTCTCTATTAATCTTACAGGCTTTTTGGTACTCTATTCCTTATGAGGAAGAACAAAACCTTTTAGGTCTGTAAGAGCTATATTATTTACAATTGGTAAAGAAGAACATGAAAAGAAAGAAAATCAAAGAGTTAAATCAAAAGAAGTACCGAGTTTATTTTCAACAAATGTCGTAGCTGTATTGCCTTGTTATTACAGAATCCAGCAGTCCACAGCCAGGAACAAGTTATTCACAACATCACAAAAAAATGTTGAGGTTTGGCAGTAGATGGCAGCTAAGAACAGTGTCTTACTTGGTTTGATTACTGTCAATTATTGCTGAGCATGCTAAATCCCCTACCCAAGTTCCAGCTTCTAGAACCGTTGGTGCTTCACTGTCTCCCATCTAATTAATGCCTTCTCATAGTTTCTTCAATCCAAGGAACATAGGTGGAAACACGAACATACACACCAGGCTTATTGGGGCGTGCGCAGCCAAGACCCCAAGAAGTGACTCCTTGTAGAATGTATTTGTCCTTCTCAAAGCAGACCAGAGGCCCGCCACTGTCACCCTGTACAGAGGGAGGGGAAAAAGCGATGAGGGGACTAAGCATCCTCTTTTTATTATGGGACATCATCCTTCCATTACCTAAATGTACGCTTTCCCAATATTTGAACACTCCTTTCCTTACTAACCAGGGGCTTCCCTGGTGGCTCAGAGGGTAAAGCATCTGCCCACAATGTGGGAGACCCGGGTCCGATCCCTGGGTCGGGAAGATCCCCTGGAGAAGGAAACGGCAACCCACTCCAGTATTCTTGCCTGGAGAATCCCATGGATGGAGGAGCCTGGTGGGCTACAGTCCACAGGGTCGCAGAGTCAGACGCGACTGAGCGACTTCACTTTTCTTACTAACGGGCTTCCCTTGTGGCTCAGCTGGTAAAGAATCCGCCTGCAGTGCAGCAGACCTGGGTTCAATCCCTGGGTTGGGAAGATCCCCTGGAGAAGGGAAAGGCTACCCACTCCACTATTCTGGCCCGGAGAATCCATGGACTATAAAGTCCACGGGATCGCAAAGAGTCGGACACAACTGAGCGACTTTCACTTTCCTTACTAACATATTATTTGAACATCTGCTGTGCTTCAGTACTTGGCAAAGTATATTCAACAAAACCAGACCATTTAGTGTCTCCTGGGGGTGGGGGGGGCGGGAAATCCTTCATGAGAACTCTACTCATGCCTTCAAACTTTGGGGGTTTCTCTTAGGGAGGGTAACCCCAGGAACAATTGTAAAAGGAGTGCAGGAGTCTCTGTCTTATACCGACCTCCCTTCCCTCCTGGAAAGGTCCTACGCACCAGCATCCTCCCAGAGGGGTGGGGGCTGTGACCGTGATGTAACCACGCCCTTACAACCAGCCTGGAACTCGAGGGCTGGGAAATCACCCTCGATGATCTGAGTCAACCATCAGAGACACACGTTAAAGGTTTCTGGGCAATGTTTAGTCGTGGCCTCCGACTGACAAATCCTGCTCGTATTTGCGGCTTTGGGGCTGAAACGTCCAAGGGGCTGAGGCAGGCCGACGCAAGATGAGCACTGATCTCTCCCGTCTTTTCTTACCTGGCAGCTGTCGGACCCTCCATCCAGATCGCCCGCACACAGCTCCGTGGACCTGACCCTCCCGTTCAGATACTCGAAGCGATTACACACCTTGTTCTCGACCACGGGCAGCCGCGCCTCCTTCAGGCGGCCCTCACCGGAAGTGCCTGTGTTTAGAAAGATGAAAGAAAGGGTTACTGGATCTGAACCGTGTCCCCAGGGGAACTTCCAGAACAGCAGAGCAGTAACCATAGGTCTCTGGTTTATCCATGAGGTTGCATAAGACAAGGAGTCAGTTCCCAAAACTACTGGGATTCTTTTTTTTTTCTTTTTGACCCTTGAAAGTGTAAATGTTACATAAGGGTTCATGTTCCCACGTCCTAATTAATCTGGGCTTCTTTATGGGATTTTTGAGGTTTGTTTGTGTGGTTATCTTCTGCTCCTTTTTTCAAATCATAGAGAAAATTATTTTTAATATATGAGATATTGAGAAATACTAGTGCTACCATATGTATTTTACACATTCCCTTCCAGAATTTTTATGTTTCTTCTACTTTACATCATATTGCACTTTTTTTTCACACAACATTACATAGTAAGGACTTTTATCATCTTTATAAATGTATATTTAAATTATATATTTTATATAATTATATTGTATATGTAGATTATACATTTTATAATTCATCTTTAAAATTAATATTTGAGTGGGGAGTGACTACCTAATGGATTTGGGATTTTCTTTTGGTCTGAAGCAACATTTCTGTCCCTTGGACTCCAAGGAGATCCAACCAGTCCATCCTAAAGGAGATCAGTCCTGAATATTCATTGGATGGCCTGATGCCAAAGCTTAAGCTCCAATCCTTTGGCCACCTGATGCGAAGAGCTGACTCATTTGAAAAGACCCTGATGCTGGGAAAGATTGATGGCGGGAGGAGAAGGGGATGACAGAGGGTGAGACGGTTGGATGGCATCACCGACTCNACCAAGTCGATGGACATGAGTTTGAGTAAACTCCAGGAGTTGACGATGGACAGGGAAGCCTGGTGTGCTGCAGTCCATGGGGTCACAAAGAGTCAGACACGACTGAGTGACTGAACTGAACTAAAGATTTCTGTAAATAGTGGTGACGGTTGTTCAACAGTGTGAATATACTAAATGCCACTGGACTGTACTTGTCAAAATAGTTTAAAAAGTAAAATCTACATTCCTTTCCCAATTAGGGACAGTAAAGACTCTTCCATGGGCTTGTCTTCCCTACTGTATTTCTTTTTTGTGTGTAAGAAAAACTACTGTCTTACTTTGGCAAGGGGAAATAGAACCCTTGCACAGTCACAAGAAGAAATGATGTTTCTCCAGATGGACACACCCAAGTATGTCTCAGTATTTTCACAAATAATCCAGTTTTCCAACTTTGCAAGCCCAGCTTTCACGAGTTTTACAAAGTCTTTGCTTTGCCAGCATGAAACAGCTAAGAAATAAGGTACTAGCTCTCCAAAGGCTTTGAAACAAACTTGGAAAATTGTCTTGAGTTCAGAAAACTCACACTGGAGTTGACAGGAGCTCGTAAGAGGCCCACTGTTTGACATCGAGGGGCGAGTCCCAGTGCTGGTCCAGCGGGGGAGGAAGGTCCTGAGCACAGGAGCATTGAGCAGTGGATGTATTGTTTGAACTGAGTAGATTTGCGGATGGTGAAGCCTCCTCAGAAAATTGTTGCTGAAAATTAATTTAACAGTGTCCTGCTCTGACATCTGCTTTCTGAGCAAGACAGACACTGTGATGCCAGGGACAAGTTCTCTAATTGACCAGAAATTGTTGTGTGCGGAGGTGCTGCCATCCTGTGGCCACAATAGAGATGGCACATCTGAGGGCCTGACGCTATGAGACTAAGGGTGACCCAGGGCCCTGACGGGGCTTCCCTGATGAGGCTTCCCTGATGGGGCTTCCCTGATGGTTCAGAGGGTAAAGAATCTGCCCGCAATGCGGGAGACACAGGTTCAGTCCTTGGGTTGGGAAGATCCCCTGGAGAAGGAAATGGCAACCCACTCTTCCAGGTGCTCTTGCCTGGAAAATCCCATGGATGGAGAAGCCTGTAGGCTACAGTCCATGGGATGGCAAAGAGTTGGACATGACTGAGCGACTTCACTTTCACTTTTCACTTTCAGGGACTGGATGGTGCAGTCGGGAGGGAGAAGGCGGTCCCTGAAGGTACCCAGCCATTGCCGACGAGAGGCTGGCCCGAATGAGCCCCTGGGCATCAACCCTGACCTTCTTTGGAATACAGGGAAAGACTAGAGACTAAACGGGAGATTTCTACTTCACATGGAGAGGCCGAGAACACTGACTGATCCAGTGTCATTACTGGTGTATAGAAAATCGGTAAACAGACCTCACTCGTGTCTTGTGACTCCTGGTCCAATAAATATATCAAGAATCATTTTCTCAAATTACACATTCAGATGAGGCCTGGAGAGACAGGGGAGTCCAGTGCCAGGTGGTGGTTAGAAAAGTGTGGGTGGTGGGTGAGGAAACAGTGACTGGGCTTGGGGGTCTGGCAGGCCTGGGTTCCAAGAGGGCTCAGCTACACACGGGTTAGGTGATGCCTCCTGAGGACGGTGACCATGGGGATGAGGAGGAGGGCTGGGGGTTGATCGTGATGCTGATGGTGAGGTGGTGTCCATGGCGATGGTGGTGTCCATGGTGATGGTGGCCATAACGACAGTGATGATGTGAGATAGTGATGGTGGTTGTGGTTGTACAAGAAGCACAGAAGCTGCTAAAATACCATCTGCAAAGCACTGAGCTCTTCACATACATTATCTTTATCTGCACAATACAGATGAGAAAACTGAGGCTAACATGCAGAACATCATTTGAAAACATGGATTTTATGGATGAGGGTTTAGATGCCAAATGGTATCACGAGGTAAGGTGACTGGTCCCTTCTCCCTAGCCAGTGGCAGAGGCAGAACTGCATTCCAGGGC